GAGTTTTTTTTTTTAGGTCAAAGATTCACTATGTCTACAGTTACTTTATGTAACGTGTTTGCAAAAAGGCATTTTTGCTTTTATTTCAGAAAGCACAACTGTTTTAACACATAATAGTGAGTCACTTCATTCGAGCTTGTACATCTGCTTTAGAGGTTCAGAAGATATTGGGGTGGTTCAAGTGGGGACGTCACATTTGTATAAAACCCTCCAAGGTTTCTGGTTTGACTAATGTTTGCTTCTGATACACCGGCAAGCCAGACATTTATGTTTGTCATAAAGTTTGAAACCTTGAATGTTTTTAAACTAGGATACACTGTACAAATGGGAATGACTACATCCCCACTGTAATGATTTAGCCAACAAATATAATGTAGGAGTGCAAGAGAACTCCAACATCAAGTCTGGCTGGTCCTAATATATACAATAATGGGGTATTTCAGGAGCAGTGTCTAATCAGAGTGTATAAAAGGCTCTTTCTTGCCATTCTGTACTCTAGTCATGGGGCAACCTCCCATCTAAAGATCTGTTGTTCTGACCAAGACAACTCTAAATACGCCCACTTGTTACAAATACTCTTCAAATACTTCTTTGGCACATGCATTCATCAGACTTGTGCTTTTTGCTGTGTGTGTGCTACTTCTGGCAGTGGAAAGAGAGTGAACTTGTGAGGCATCATGAGTGTACTGGATTGGATGGCGAGCGTGCCTGCTTGTGTTATAGCCAGGCTTTCTCTACATTCATCATTGATAGCAGCAGGGCAGCCTAAAATATATAGCCGAGTGGTTCATTTATAGGTCTGCTGATTTTCAGTGTCATGGCCCTCAGTATTATGGGCTTGAGGCTCAAATCTATTTAGAGAAATAGACCAATCAACGCAGCTGAGACACAAGCTCTTTTAACAGCAGCTGAACCCAATTTTCCCCTTAAGCAGCTTCCAATGACAGAAACACAGCTCTGTCTGTATCCCAGATCAATTCTCATTCATCTGCATCTACTCTAAGACTTATGGAAAGTGATTCATGAGAGATGTCATGTTTCTTATCATGGCAAATCTGTATTACTTTCACATAAAATGAGAACAGGAAAGAGAACAGATTCTTGGCTGTAGTTATATAGAAAGTATTACTTTAGGACTCAGCCAATCACAAATGTTGCACATTCTAAGTGGAAACACCTGTGACCGTATGACTGTAAGCGGAATACACGCAATACAAATCACCATTAATAACGCTCCTGAAACTGTTTTATGATTGAGGAACAGGTCAGCATAACTGTATCCAAATGCTGACAATTTACTTTTGTTAGTTGTAGCTGATAGTGATAGAGTTGGTCTGCGTGTGTGCATTTCAATTTAAGTACATCTATTGTTAAGAAAAATGTTTGTTTACAAAGACCATTGTGAGCATGACTTTATGCCAAACGTTGTAAATTTTACTGTCATCCATATAATGGAATGTCAGACTGAGTGTGATGCTATTGATCTTAGCGAATTTCAAACTGACACAAACACCAACAAGTCTCTACAAACTGATGTCAATTTGAAAGGGTACAGTACAACATAACAGTTAAACTTTCCTCTGCAGGTCAGCCAGATAATGTGTTTGCATTTAGGACACTGTTAGATTAAATATCAACATTTATGTTTCTTTTTTTTGACTCTTTTTATTAATCAAGGCTTATTCTTTACAAAATGAGAGCAGAGTCATGCCAAACACGTCTACATTTACTGCTCAACAACCTGATCGCAGATAGTGAGTTTAATTTTTTTGCTTTTGTATTTTCATGTAAGATGTTTTGACCAGGAAAGTCATTCTCATGAGATGTGGGAGTCTTTTCCTCTACAACCTGCGGGAGTGGTAGAGGAAATCCTTCCCTGAAACCTTCCTTGGCCTCTGCATCCTGCTTTAACTATCTGCCTACCACATTAAAAATACCTGCGTGAGTTTCAGTATCACATCAAACTTTGATCTCCTGCTAAGCATTAAAAACTTTTCTAAGAGATAACATAAAACAATAAGATGTCTGATTCTGTTTATACGGCACCAACTCATACTAGTCTTACACATGTTAAGCAAACACTATTGTACACTCACTGTCTTAAGCAAACAATATGACACCCTGTTTCTACAGTAAATGATGAAATGTCTGTAGTAAATGATGCAACATGGAGATTGTCTCCTGAAGCTTTAGTATTCCTTCAAATGACAAACCACAGCTACAGTTTTATTTTTCTCTTCCTTTGGCTGGAGAACATGTCTGGAATGAGTTGACAGCTGAACACAGTTACATATTTTCGGGGGAATACGGAATAAGATTTGTATTCCTGCCAACTATCATCCCAATAAAAGCCAAAGTCTCTTCCTGCATACTAAACAGCTCTGTGCTTTTCAAATTATACTGAGTAACTAGAAATATTATGGCACTTAATAAATCCATATTGTGCCTTCGTAAGATTTATATGTTAAATAAAGCATTAAATTAATGCCTACTAATAAAGAAATTAAGTTACAAACTAGATTGCATCTCCCTTTTGGCTTTTTTGTTTTTACGGCTACAATATGAGGGGCAGATTATATTTCTGTCCTGACAATAAAAATGTTTGTGCCAGCATTACTCTAACCAGCAGATGGCGACAAACCCTGTGAGGCAGAAACTTCATGCAGGACAGCTCCTGCTAAGAGAACACATACAGAGGCAACAACTGTTGTTCTGTCCTTTTTGGCAAGTATGTTTATACTTGAAATGAGACCACAAGGAAATAAACAAGCACCTGTAGAGCATTTATCTCTTCTTTACTTTCTGCATTTAGAAAATCCCCAGCAGAGATTTATCCAAAAACACACAATTTTTGGTTTGTGTACTTTGTTAAAGCCTTAAAAAATGATAACAAAATGCATAGACAGGAGCAGCTGTTCACCGTAGGAGATTTTCAGCAGAAATCAATTGAACTGTTGTGCTACCAAATGACAAAAGCTGGGGCAGTTAAAATGTACCACGGAGTAACAAGTACACTTGGTTTTGGGGTGAATTCATGGGAAAAGCCTGCCTCTGGTCAAGGTTTTCAGTCTCGCCTCAACCTTGTGGCTCTGCAGGACAGGCCCACGGACATGTGTTTCCATCAGGAGGTGGTGAACATGCCTGGAATGAAAACAGTCCAAGCGAGGAGCCTGTTTGGACAGGACTGAGTGATAACATCTACCGGGCCACTGTGGGATAATGTTTTGCAGAATGTTATCAAAGCTCTCATTGGGGTGTGGGAAGTGAGCAGCCTTTATCAGAAATTAAGTTATGCTTGACATAGCACAAGGGTAATAGCTAACCAAGATAAAGATATCGCTACAGTTTATTGCGGAGTGAACTCCTGTTTTGTGTCCATTAATTCCAATCATACAGAGACTGAATGGCGAACAAATGGTGCACAATAACACAACAGCTGCTGTTGCCATAAGTCACAGATAGTAACTTACTCCACTTTGATAAATAACATTTGTAAATTCCCCCTAAAGGGGAATGCAGCCTTTGCTCGCAAGATGCTCACTGGAAGTACGGTATTCAGACTTAAAGAGTTGCAAAGAAAACCAAAGCACTTTTTTCAAAGAAAAAAAAAAAACTAAACAAAAAAAATGAATGCCCCTATTTTAGGGGCTAACACCAAAGTCTGTCATGAGAAAAGTAAATTCATTCAGGTGATATCGTGAAATTGTAGCTCACAAGAAAAGCTTCTTATCTCTTTAAATGGGAGTTGGTGTATCTTAATGTATTTCCAACAACCTGTCTTTGAGAAGACAGAGTTATTTCTGCCTACCCTAATCTAAGCTGGCAAGCAATACCTCCAGTGTCCAAACTTTTGAAGAACTTTGTTTTGCTTGAAATGTATAGTCATGGGGGAGATTTGAGTTGCTACCAAAAGATTTTTTTTCAATGAGAAAACTGCTTTGGGTTGTTTTCTTCTTGATATCTTCTGGGTTTTGACCATTTACACATACAGAATTATTATAACTATGCATTTTGCAGTGATGAGAGCAGTTGACTGTCCTGCTTGTCTTGCTTGGTTTTTTTTTTTTTTTATTGTTTATTTTCACATATACTTAATATCCCATGATGCAATCATAGCTGTTTCTTTTCAGTACACCACCAAGTTAGGCAGTTAGCTGGGAAAAGGCAGTGGACAGCATTGTTGTGTGTATTCATGCATGCATACCCAGAAACATGCATAGACAATGTACCCAGAGGCCTAACAGCAGTGGCCACTCCTTCCTTTTCCATCTGGTGCTATTGTGGCACTGAACTTAGACATTAAAGTAAACATCAATATACATCTGCAAATATCCAACAATTTTTCTTCTACAGTGGGAAAAAGAGAGAAGGAATAGTGGTATAGCTGCCAGAATTGCTTATCTGGTCACTGGCAACATCCTGAAACACAAGGACCATGGAATTAAAGCTTTATCTCTGGATTACCACTAAATATAGACACTTGGGTTAAATCCAGCGCAAAGTCCATGCCATGTATGTCCTCTGTTTGTTTCCTTGTATTGCGTAATGTCATGCTCAGCTTGGTATTAAAATGAGGGTGATGCAGCAGGGGTTGTTCATAGACATTTCGGTGTGGAAAGAGCGAGTAAATAACTAAGTGTGTGCTTGTTAGTATTTGTCTGTGAAGCTTGCACTTATCTTTGTCAAGATTACAGGGATTTCTTACATATTAAACTCAGGCAGGTAACTCATGTATTTTCCCCACCTGTCTGAAGGAAAATTCTACTCTATGTACAACTTCTTGAATACAAAATTTTTTAAATTCATTACTTTTGCCATAAAGGCAATTTGTCTTCAACTTCTCAAACAAAAGTGCAAAAGTGCAGTCTGGAAACAGCAGCGTTTTATGTGTACATATGTATATGCAACCAAACCTTCCAACCATCCAAAACCTATTGTTCTGGGTAGTTAGTTCATCATGTGATTAGGTGACAGGATTGAGTTGTTGTACAGGTAAATACCTTTGAACGCAGGCAGTTTCTGCAGCTCTCTGTTGTTGCTCAAGCTGAAGCGAGAGGAGCTCTGCCTCTTGTCCTTTTTGACAGCTGTCTGGGAACCTGGCTGTTTCCCCTTTAGCAGCTGAGTGGTGGGAGGAACACTATTGCTAGCCTTCCTGTTTGAGCTCTGCTGAAACAAGAAACATTAGTGGCAGTGAGGTAAGAGCAAGCACATGCTGAACAGTGGTGCACAGAGCGTGAAAGAGAGTACCTCTGTAGGAATCTGATAAAACTGTGTGCACGTAGCCTCCGGCCAAGCTATTTGGCTGCCATATGCTTGACAGGTACTTTTAATTATATACAGTGTGTCAGCATTTGCTCAACAAGACAGTGCCTTGCATTTTGAAACTAAGGTCAAAAACCTCACTTCACCCAATGCACTATAGATATTATATTTAACAGTACATTTATCTGAGGAAAAAACAAACTATTATAGTTCCACTCATCAAGCTATCCAGCTGTGTTTATGAAGACTTAGAAAAACACAAGGGTTTGTAAGGCAGGATATAATCCTGATGTGGGATCAACTGAAAGTGGCAAGTTTCCCACAGTTAGTCTTACCTGCCTGCTGGGATCCATTCATCAACACACACCTAATGGCATAGAACTTATTTCACCAGATGCAGCTGTGGAGCTGTGTCAGTCTGAGTCACAGGGGATTTATCAAATTAATTTAAGACCCAACTAAACTTGGCCACAGTCTGCAGCACTACAAGACAGGCGCTTAGGCTCGGCCACTAGCAAGCTGTCGAGTAAAGTGGGAAATAAAGCTGAGCTGGCCTCTATTATGAACTAGATTACACACTAATGTAATACAAAGATAGGAATTAACGACTTGTAAGTTCATTAAGGCAAAGTAGAAACATCTGTCATTTACGATTTTCTAATTTAATGCTTTTAATGTATTTCCTGACAGTTGCTTGTTACAAAGACAGTGAATGAAGCCTTCCTATATATTATAGTATATAGACTCCCTTCAGTTTCATGCACTTGTGGGTACCAGAAGTACATGAGACAAAAGGAAGGGCGGTGGGTGGTAGCCACAACAGCTTGGAGCCCAGCGATTTCAATTTAACACAAGGTTGCTGCATTAGTAGATCTGCTACATGACTGCTGACACACAATAACATGCAGGATTATTACCCAGCAAGAGGCAGGCAGGAGGCTGAAACCACAGCTTCAGAAAAAAAAAAAAGATTTCAGACAGTCAACAGGGGAAGACCATATCTACATCCTTCATAACTAATTAGCATTAAAGCAAAGAGTTTAAAATATATGCTTTAGGGAATACGTTAAAGTAACATTTCAATAATATATATATATATATATATATATATATATATATATATGGGTTCCAGTGAGCAGATAACCGACTTTTTCTGGTACAGTGAACTGGGCTGGACAGTAACAGCAGTCAAAACAATACAAACGGCTGGTGAGCAGCCCTTACAATATGAATATTAAATGTCTAGTAAAGAGGAGCACCTTTCCAAGCAGCACAAACAGAAGTCAGCTGAATGAAGATTTCAGACTACCCATGAAAAAGAAAAGGCTTCCAGTTCTTTGAAGAACAAAGGAAGGTGAAAACCTTATATAATAGTTCACTCATGTTTAGATGTGGTCATAGCTGAGTTCATGGATGAAGTCTGACTTGATTCTAATGTTAGTTGCATTTGATAACAGGTGCATTTTAACTTGAACTAGAGGAATATCATAAGAAAATGGTGTTTAGGCAAAGCTGTGTACCTGGTCCCAGTGAATGCCCTCATATTCTTTTACAAATACAGTATATGGCCATGCAGTGCAATAATATGATGTAATGATTCACACCAGATGCTAGTATTTTTACAGGACCAACACACTGTTTAACAGTTTGTAATGCAGGCTGAAGGTATCCTTTGGCCTTTCCGGGTGTTACCCACTCCAAATGTAAGCAAACATGTCATGAGGCACTTACGACTAACCATACTCTTTGCCAGTGCAATTTGTTCATATTTGATATAGGTTGCCATGATGTTGAAGAATGTTCTCCTTTGGTCTCTCTGGAACTATTTTATGCCTCATGGATTATGGGTGGGTACTGGTAAAGTAGTGTGGAAATGACTATGCACAAAGGCACACATTTCTACAATACCACCTTAAATTATACTGAATATCAGCATCATTAGAAAAAAATAGAAATTCTATATTCCAGCAGTATTAGAAATGATTTATAAAGTATACTAATGCAAAATTGTTTTGAATGAAAGCCTGTTTATTTTGTTTTAAATACAATTCAAATAGAGGCAAAGCCTCTGTGAACAGATTGCCTAGTTCCCTAAACTGAATCATCTTCAAGTAATTTAGCACCAGGTTATGAACAAACAGCAGTATGAGTCAGGGGAGGGACAACCATGATGCAAGTACAACCCAGTCCTATCAATGAAAGCTGTACTCACCAACAGAGGCTGGAAAACAAACCAACCAAAGATCGACAGCATATTGTATCGATATGAAATTCTGATTTAGAGGAAAGCAGTCATGGCATGTAATGGTGGTAGCTCTTTACCACTGGCTCCTCAACCAAACAAGTATCTACACCTGTGATTCCTCTCATTACACAAGATTACAGCTCTTACAAGACAGCATGTCATGTATACTAATATATCTCACCATGGTCTGAATCTGAAACACTTGAATATTAGTATGGGAGCAACATTTGATGGCTTGTGGGATAAGCTGTGATTCAAGACTTCCACTTAAATAAAATCAAAAGAATCATGAGGCCAAAATTAGAAGGGGTTATGTCCTTTCACTCCACAGGAGCTTTTCTGTCCTCTATGTGAGTGCCTGCTTTACTACATGACAGGCGTACCACCTCCCCACCTGTCTCACACGGTAAGGCAGAAGGGAGGGTCCACCAAGTACTCATCATTTATGTGGAAAACTACAGAGCAGTGTGTTAAGACACGGTTACTAGGGCACAAACTACAGCCTAAAAAATACCAGTGTTATCAACACCACTCTGACTGTTTCAACAAAAATTACACAATTTAAGCTCTAAAAATGGGGTCTATTGTGGTAGATTTCACAATTTTGTACAGGTATTCCTGTTATTTCAGCCATGGTACTCTTTATGAACTGTATTTTACATGAGATAAATAACACTGAGTCTATGATAACTCTATTAGCTATAAGAAAAATATTAGGATACAATATTTCTGCCAAACAACCAAGATTTTCCATCATTGGTAGAAAACATTATGGCTCAGTAGGAATGCTTTTATTCAGTCTGAGTATCATTTTGTCTAGACCTTCACCAGAATCACAGCATAGGGCTGCAGTGAATATGCACGGATTGGGCGTGTTGAGCCATTATCTCATTGATAATGCACTCCATTTTCAAACAGTGACAATGCAATATCAGTGGCATTTGAACTTGTGTCAGACAAAGGTCTACCATACTGTCCCCCAGGAAGTGTCTACAAGGTGTCCTGGTTTAGCCTACCTCATGCTCTGAATTCTCCTGTCCTCCACTCTTGCCCACTTTGCCAGATTTAGGAGACTCCTGAAAGAAAAAGTTGAAGTACTTAAGCCAAGTTGGCATTAACGGATAAGTGGGTTGACAACATCAATAAGCAGTCTATCAGTGAATGCCGCCGCGCACAAATCCTAGCTAAAAATAGCAAGCCTGCCCACCCAGTCTCACACTCCTGTTTGAACACACTGGTAAGTCTCCTGTTAGCTAGCTAACGCTACTTCACCGTCAATACCATTCACACGACCCCGGATTTCAGCTTTTAAGAGACACAAAGTGGTTACATTTACACCTAAAACACACACACCCTGTCTGGGGAAACACATGCATTCAAAGTACACAATTTCACTCCGGGATAACGGCGCGTTGTTTAAATAATGTTGGCAGGATAGCAGCTAGCTGGTCATGGTTGCTGGTTGGCTAACGGTAATGGGATGGACACTGCGCTGATAGCTAAATGTCCTGTTGTGAGGCCGGTTTATCAACAATTACAGTGAAATCCACCAATTGCAAACTTTATTCACTACCATCCTAACCTCTTGGCAATATTCAAACTCACCTTGTCTTTTTTCGTTTTATTCGGCATTGTACTACCGTAGCCGCCCTTGCTCCCCTCTCGGATACTCCACAACCAAAACCTTGACGACTCTCAGGGCACCACACTGCAAGGCAGTTCAGTCTGTCCTCACTCTGTAATTGGCTGCTGTCTATCAGCTGACTCCAACGTCTCAGAGTGACACGCTGAGCATTACAAGGGAGTGGGAGCCCTCTGCTGGCCAAAGCTACTACTGCAACATATGAGACAGCAGACAGGAATCATGTTGGACTGGCTCTATCTTATCCGTTTTTCCACCTTGTACCAAGCAGTTTGCATATGTCAGCTTGGACTGGAAAATTGTAATGCCTATTTTTTCATTTTTTACATTTTATAGACCCAACGGTTTGTGGATTAATCCATGATCCATGATGAAATTCATGATGAAAATAAAACTACACCACACACCCAGTTATAAAATAGATGAAACTGCAAGTACGTTCATTGGAATGTGAAGCTTTTGAAATGACATAACTTTCTAAGGAAAAACACAGAAACATTGTGGGTTCATATAGAAACTGTATGACTCTTGTAATTGTTTTGTGTCCTGTACCTCATCCTTATTTTCTGTGCACATTGTGACCTTCATATCAAATGCCTATATATCCCTCTGCCACAGACCTTGTCATCATGATGGCAATTCTCTCTTGTAATGACATTTAATTCTGTCTCAACACAAATATTTTTCTTGAATTACCCCTTGGCAGATTGAAGTAAATCCTACGAGAAGGAACAAGTGGGTGGCTGTGAGGCAATACCTTGAAATAATCAATTGCTATTTTTATGCAGTTCATGTTTCGTAATATATGTATAATGAATGCTACAGTGGAAGATCCTCATCACTATGGCTACAGTCTGAAAAATGTATCGGTGTTGCAATTTTTTTTTTTCAACCACCAGTCTTGTCCTTGAATACACCTTTGTAGTCCTGCCCTAGCCATTTATGAAGTAAACCCTGAGGTCCCTGAACATTTAAAATGGAAATGCATTATTTTGCTAGCTGTAGAGCACATAGTCCATCCTATTCATTCACCTGACTGGTAACAGATCCCCTGTTATGTGTTAATTCATACATTTTACATAAAAGTCAGGATGTACATTATTTGTATATTTGGTTTTAACATTCTCATTTCTTCCATCAGTGTGTTTATTTTGTCCCAAATGCATGTTATATTATCAGTAAGGATGACCAAAACATGGCTTGTTAACATGGTAAACCTTTATTTCTAGGTCCCACCGTTTCAAATAACAGTATCAATTTTCATATATTTACAGTTAAAGTAAGACCACACAAAGAACATCGGAATGTCAATAAATACAAAAACAAATGCGTTGATAAAACTCAAGATACAAAAACTGACAACTTAAAAAATAAAGTTCTAAAGGGAATGAATCTGAACAGCATATGGTCAATGCAAGGGGGAATAAAGTGAGGGTGGGGCATTACAGGCTCATTTACAACATCAAACTTGAAATTTGTTAGAACACTACTTCTGAATGCTAGCAGGCAATAGAAACAGGCTTAGTCCACCTCCTCCATCCTGGATGTGTCGTCATCATCCCCTTCCAGAGGGGGCATGTCCTCAGTGGGAGCAGAGGTTACATCATCTGATGTCAGATCATCTTCATCAATACCTAGAAGAAGAAGAAGAAGTGGATTATTAGTCAGTGAAGCCAGGTAATTATTTGATTTAAATCAATAATCAAATCGATAAACACAGTGTATTATTTTATTGATAGTAATTTGCAAGACGCTTTGAACTGTGTAACAAAACACATATCCTCACCAAGACCAAGCTTGATCATTCTGTAGATGCGATTGGAGTGGGTCTGGGGGTCATCCAAAGTAAATCCTGAGGAGAGCAGGGCGGTCTCGAAGAGCAGGATAACCAGATCCTTCACAGACTTGTCATTCTTGTCAGCCTCTGCCTTCTGCCTCAGGGTCTCCACGATGGGGTGGTCAGGGTTGATCTCAAGGTGCTTTTTAGCGGCCATGTAGCCCATAGTGGAGTTATCTCTCAAGGCCTGGGCCTTCATGATCCTCTCCATGTTGGCCGTCCAGCCATAAGTACTAGTAACGATGCAGCAGGGGGAAGAGACCAGGCGGTTGGAGACTGTGACCTGCGGAGGTAGACAAGTATTAATACAATCATATTCTGTCTCAACTGCATACCTGTGGGTTATACACAATACAAAGTTATACTCTCACAGTGTGTTTACATGCTGTTTAATTTATTCATCTGCTCACCTTCTCCACCTTCTTCTCCAAGATGTCCTTCATGATCTTACATAGGTTTTCAAACTGAGCCTTCTTCTCCTCCTGCTTCTTCTTCTCTTCATCATCCTCAGGCAGCTCCAGGCCTTCTTTGGTAACTGAAACCAGGTTCTTGCCCTCAAACTCCTTCAGCTGCTGGACACAGTACTCATCGATGGGCTCGATCATGTAGATGACCTCAAGGCCGGCTTTGCGAAGGCGCTCCACAAAGGCAGAGTTAGCGACCTGGTCTTTGGTCTCACCTGAAATACAGATATGGAAATGCTGTAAGACATTCATGTAAGATCACATTAACTCATTTCACCTAATTTTAAAATGCTTCTCAATTTACATTTACACTGTTTATAAATGAAAAGCTTCCTTACCTGTGATGTAATAGATATGTTTCTGGTTGTCCTTCATACGTGTGACATAGTCCTTCAGGGACACCATCTCATCTCCGGAGGCTGAGGTGTAGTAGCGCAGCAGCTCAGACAGCTTCTTCCTGTTCTGTGAATCCTCATGGATACCGAGCTAAAAAACAAAGAAAACATTCAACATGCAGTTGCAAGTACATCAGTTCAATCAACATTTAATTCTGTTAACAATTACATTATTGCTTCTTTACTATACCAGTGTGTTTGATGGGTGGGTTCAAATATGTGAAAACACTAATTAGCCAATTAGGTCCATACCATAGTGCCTACATTTAAACAGAAGATGGCAGTAAGAGGCTCTATACAAGGCTTAAAGCAGCTTTTCATTGGGACAATATGGCCAAAGGATCAAACAGATGGCTCGTGACTGGGTCAGAGGAACAAAGGTGATCATTAACTAGAATTCCAAAGGTTCTTGTTAAGCTTTGCACTGAAAGCAAAGGTAAGCTACATCGTGCTAGTGCAGAATTTATATCTGGCTTGCTCTGTGATGACATTATTACAGTATCAAACCAAGGCACAAGAGTTTAACACGAGGTGGCTGCCAAGAGTTTGAAAGAGACAAGATAAGAAAAACTTGCAGCTTGCACAGTGCAAGTAGAGGACACTGACCTTGATGTTCTTAGAGAACTGCTCGTAGTACTTTTTGTAGTTGTCCTTGTCCTCAGCGAGTTCAGTGAAAAGTTCCAGGCACTTCTTGACCAGGTTCTTGCGGATGACCTTCAGGATCTTGCTCTGCTGCAGCATCTCTCTGGAGATGTTCAGGGGCAGATCCTCAGAGTCCACCACACCCTTGATGAAATCTGGTAGGTTGGTAGAGACAACCCGGTCAGCAATATATCTACATTTCTAATATGAAAGACGTATTTTTCATTTGATATAATATTAGCCGATTATTTTATTTATGAACTGCACATGCCAGTAATTCCACACTTGGGTTAAAACTCACTGAGGTACTCGGGGATGAGCTCATCGCAGTTGTCCATGATGAAGACCCTGCGCACGTACAGCTTAATGTTGTTCTTTTTCTTCTTGTTCTCAAAGAGGTCGAACGGAGCACGGCGAGGCACAAAGAGCAGGGCACGGAATTCCAGCTGACCCTCTACTGAAAAGTGCTGTGGAGAAAATGAGTTGTGTTTAAGGTCAGTTTTCAAATTTGATTATATTACTTGTGTTAAATTACACCCAATATGAAGAACTTCTGCTCCTCCAGGTAAAAAATAACAGCTGAGAGACCAACCTTGACCGCCAGGTGGTCCTCCCAGTCATTGGTAAGACTCTTGTAGAACTCTCCATACTCCTCATTAGTGATGTCATCTGGGTTCCGGGTCCACAGGGGTTTGGTCTTGTTCAGCTCCTCCTGGTCAATGTACTTCTCCTTGATCTTCTTCTTCTTCTTCTTTTTGTCGCAAGACTTGTCGTGGTCGTGTTCATCATCTGACCCAACATCCTCAATCTCAGGCTTGTCCTCGTCCTTCTCCTCTTCTTCATCCTTCTCTTTCTCCTTCTCTTCCTCCTCTGCCTCATCGTCACTCACCTCCTTGTCACGCTCTTTCTCCACCTGAAGGAAAACAATTCATTAGTCATTGGTTAGAACTACTAACTAGACTTTTTGCCATCTGTTGTCCCTTTTAAAGAAAAATTACATTGTTGTTGAAATAAAATTTAAAAAATCACACGTTTTTTGCAGCATTAACTGATGTGACTTAATTTAGATGTCTGAGCAATTTGAAACCTTAGCTCACATATTACCATGTATTTAAAAGCAATTATCCAATTGGAATAGTACTTACAAATAGTGTGATGGGGTATCCAATGAACTGTGAGTGCTTCTTCACAATTTCTTTGACTCTTCGCTCCTCGAGGTATTCTGTCTGATCTTCTTTCAGGTGCAGGATCACCTTGGTGCCACGACCCATTGGCTCAGCTGCACGGAGAAAAGATAGGTCAGTGCACGGTACAGATAACCCAGCCACCTCCTATTCCTGTCAGAGTATAACTTATATATAACCGCAAAACAATGGCAGTTACATTACTTACAGCAGTCCACTTTTACTGTGAATGAGCCACCAGCTGAGGATTCCCAGGCATACTGCTCGTCATCGTTGTGCTTGGTGATGACTGTCACCTTCTCAGCCACCAGGTAGGCAGAGTAGAAACCAACACCAAACTGACCGATCATGGAGATGTCGGCTCCAGCCTGCAGAGCCTCCATGAAAGCCTTGGTGCCAGATTTTGCAATTGTGCCCAGATTATTGATCAGGTCAGCCTTGGTCATGCCGATACCTGTGTCAATCAGGGTCAGGGTGCGTTCCTCTTTGTTGGGAATGATTTCGATTTTGAGGTCCTTGCCAGTGTCGAGCTTGGTGGGGTCAGTGAGACTCTCATAGCGTATTTTGTCCAGGGCCTGCAATTAAAAAAAAAATGATTAAAAGTTTTGACAGAAATTCAAATGATTGA